CTACTCTGCCTGCAGACATCAACGATCTTGCCCCTCACACAGTCAGATGGCTTCCTTCAGTGCGCTGAGGTGTTTAACAACTCTGAAGACAATACTACCAGCAATGTCTTCCTTCTCTTTTCACGTAGACGCTCCGACAGACGGTGCTTTCAGTTTGCTGCATGCATGGACACAGAACTGCGGTACAGCACACAGTAACGATGAAATGTGTGCTGTTCTCACATTCTTCCTCTGTATGTACACATAAACAACAAGGCAGGGAAATATAAAAGGAATTTATTTTATTGTTTGGGTACATTATTGTTCAGTGTACATGCTCACATCTGAAACAAACTTTACGTGCTTGATAACTCTCCCACCCCGCAGACATCTACACGCCAACACCGATTTATATTCATAGCGGCAAGTGCTATGTAGCTCCACATAGGGGACACAGGAAGTGACATATAACACCTTCATGCGGCGTCATAACCGCGTAGCAAATTCACAGCCGCACCGGCAGAGCTCCAGAATATGCAACTCGGCCGGCTCACACGCGGACGCGCTTATAAGTGCGAGGGCCCGCCCAACGCTGCTTGCAGCTTTAATTTTTTATTTTTTTTTTTTTTTTTTTTTTTTCTGCAAAGTAGGCCCAAATGACATGGCCTAAACATACTCGAAAACTCACCAAAATTTGCAAACATGTCAGAACCGGTGAAAAATTTCGTATTCTACAAGTTTCGCACATGGGCGTGGCAAAATGACTCGCTAGCGCCACCTAGAAAATTGGAAATGATTAGCCCCTCGTTCACGTTCAACCTACATGTACGAAATTTTCTGGGGACATGTATCGTATCAAGACGCACAAAAAAGCCTCAAGAACCCATAGCCTAAAGTCAACAGGAAGTCGGCCATTTTGAATTTTATGGCCATTTTTGGATGATTTACATACTTCGTACTTTAACGAACTCCTCCTAGGGATTTAGTCGGATCGACCTCAAATTTCTGCTGTGCCTTCTAAAGGCATTGACGATGAAAAGTTGTGCTATTTGCGCGTTTTCGTCAATGGGCGTGTCCGTGGCGTCGATGATTCGCAATGAAACAGGAAGTTGTTGTAACTTCAGTGTACATGCTCACATCCGGACCAAACTGTACATGTAGGATGAGAGTCCCGCCCTGAACACATGTACATGCCGACATTCACCCACAGTCATAGCGCCACCTGCTGGCAACAGAAAGTGACCTTTAACGAAGCAGCCCCCGCCGCACGTTTCACCTACGTGCACGAATTTTCTGTGGTACGTGTATCTTGTCCAGACGCACAAAAAAGTCTCTTGGAGCCATAGCCTAAACCCAACAGGAAGTCGGCCATTTTGAATTTTACGTCAAATTTTGGATGATTTACACACTTCGTACTTTAACGAACTCCTCCTAGGGATTTAGTCCGACCGACCTCAAATTTGTGCTGTGCCTTCTAAAGGCATTGAAGATGAAAAGTTGTGCTATTTGCAAGTTTTCGTCAATGGGCGTGTCCGTGGCGTGGCGTCAAAGATCAGCTCTTCGCCATGACACGGAAGTTGTCGTAACTTCAGTGTACATGCTCACATCTGGACCAAACTGTACATGTAGGATGAGAGTCCCGCCCTGAACACATGTACATGCCGACATTCACCCACAGTCATAGCGCCACCTGCTGGCAACAGAAGTGACCTTTAACGAAGCAGCCCCCGCCGCACGTTTCACCTACGTGCACGAATTTTCTGTGGTACGTGTATCTTGTCCAGACGCACAAAAAAGTCTCTTGGAGCCATAGCCTAAACCCAACAGGAAGTCGGCCATTTTGAATTTTACGTCAAATTTTGGATGATTTACACACTTCGTACTTTAACGAACTCCTCCTAGGGATTTAGTCCGACCGACCTCAAATTTGTGCTGTGCCTTCTAAAGGCATTGAAGATGAAAAGTTGTGCTATTTGCAAGTTTTCGTCAATGGGCGTGTCCGTGGCGTGGCGTCAAAGATCAGCTCTTCGCCATGACACGGAAGTTGTCGTAACTTCAGTGTACATGCTCACATCTGGACCAAACTGTACATGTAGGATGAGAGTCCCGCCCTGAACACATGTACATGCTGACATTCACCCACAGTCATAGCGCCACCTGCTGGCAACAGGAAGTGAATTTTAACGAAGCAGCCCCCGCCGCACGTTTTACCTACGTGCACGAATTTTCTGTGGTACGTGTATCTTGTCCAGACGCACAAAAAAGTCTCTTGGAGCCATAGCCTAAACCCAACAGGAAGTCGGCCATTTTGAATTTTACGTCAAATTTTGGATGATTTACACACTTCGTACTTTAACGAACTCCTCCTAGGGATTTAGTCCGACCGACCTCAAATTTGTGCTGTGCCTTCTAAAGGCATTGAAGATGAAAAGTTGTGCTATTTGCAAGTTTTCGTCAATGGGCGTGTCCGTGGCGTGGCGTCAAAGATCAACTCTTCGCCATGACACGGAAGTTGTCGTAACTTCAGTGTACATGCTCACATCTGGACCAAACTGTACATGTAGGATGAGAGTCCCGCCCTGAACACATGTACATGCTGACATTCACAGACAGTCATAGCGCCACCTGCTGGCAACAGGAAGTGACTTTTAACGAAGCAGCCCCCGCCGCACGTTTTACCTACGTGCACGAATTTTCTGTGGTACGTGTATCTTGTCCAGACGCACAAAAAAGCCTCTTGGAGCGATGCCCTAAAATCAACAGGAAGTAGGCCATTTTGAATTTTACGTCAAATTTTGGATGATTTACACACTTCGTACTTTAACGAACTCCTCCTAGGGATTTAGTCCGACCGACTTCAAATTTGTGCTGTGCCTTCTAAAGGCATTGAAGATGAAAAGTTGTGCTATTTGCGAGTTTTCGTCAATGGGTGTGTCCGTGGCGTGGCGTCAGAGATCAAGTCTTCGCCATGACACAGGAAGTTGTTGTAACTTCAGTGTACATGCTACATCTGAACCAAACTTTACGTGCTTGATAACTCTCCCACCCCGTTATGGAGGACCGATCCTGACACAGTCAGAAATAAATACAGAAATAAATAAATGCTCAATAAATAAATAAGCATCCAATTAAATACACAAAAAAATAAAGTAAATAAATAAATGTAGGTAGTAATTAAATTATACAAGGAGACATAAATGTATATATTTTAATTAGTGCCTTTACTATTCACCTTTGTTATAATTACCTTATTTGTTTATTCAACTTTATTTATTACAATTTTTTTAATGTATTTATTTATGTGTGTGTTTTAATATTTTTGTCTGTTTTATTCTTCCTTTGTATTTATTTACCTTATTTATTTTCACCCATGGTATTTATTTCTGCCTGTCTTTTTTAAATTTTTGTATGCATTTCTGCCTCATTATGCAAATGAGGAGGGGCTGTGTCTCAAGGGGTCATCTTCTCTGCTATTGGTGGACCAGTCAGACAGGAGAGCTCCTACTCTGCCTGCAGACATCAACGATCTTGCCCCTCACACAGTCAGATGGCTTCCTTCAGTGCGCTGAGGTGTTTAACAACTCTGAAGACAATACTACCAGCAATGTCTTCCTTCTCTTTTCACGTAGACGCTCCGACAGACGGTGCTTTCAGTTTGCTGCATGCATGGACACAGAACTGCGGTACAGCACACAGTAACGATGAAATGTGTGCTGTTCTCACATTCTTCCTCTGTATGTACACATAAACAACAAGGCAGGGAAATATAAAAGGAATTTATTTTATTGTTTGGGTACATTATTGTTCAGTGTACATGCTCACATCTGAAACAAACTTTACGTGCTTGTTAACTCTCCCACCCCGCAGACATCTACACGCCAACACCGATTTATATTCATAGCGGCAAGTGCTATGTAGCTCCACATAGGGGACACAGGAAGTGACATATAACACCTTCATGCGGCGTCATAACCGCGTAGCAAATTCACAGCCGCACCGGCAGAGCTCCAGAATATGCAACTCGGCCGGCTCACACGCGGACGCGCTTATAAGTGCGAGGGCCCGCCCAACGCTGCTTGCAGCTTTAATTTATGTGTGTGTTTTAATATTTTGTCTGTTTTATTCTTCCTTTGTATTTATTTACCTTATTTATTTTCACCCATGGTATTTATTTCTGCCTGTCTTTTTTAAATTTTTGTATGCATTTCTGCCTCATTATGCAAATGAGGAGGGGCTGTGTCTCAAGGGGTCATCTTCTCTGCTATTGGTGGACCAGTCAGACAGGAGAGCTCTTACTCTGCCTGCAGACATCAACGATCTTGCCCCTCACACAGTCAGATGGCTTCCTTCAGTGCACTGAGGTGTTTAACAACTCTGAAGACAATACTACCAGCAATGTCTTCCTTCTCTTTTCATGTAGACGCTCCGACAGACAGTGCTTTCAGTTTGCTGCATGCATGGACACAGAACTGCGGTACAGCACACAGTAACGATGAAATGTGTGCTGTTCTCACATTCTTCCTCTGTATGTACACATAAACAACAAGGCAGGGAAATATAAAAGGAATTTATTTTATTGTTTGGGTACATTATTGTTCAGTGTACATGCTCACATCTGAAACAAACTTTGCGTGCTTGATAACTCTCCCACCCCGCAGACATCTACACGTCAATACCGATTTATATTCATAGCGGCAAGTGCTATGTAGCTCCACATAGGGGACACAGGAAGTGACATATAGCACCTTCATGCGGCGACATAACCGCGTAGGAAATTCACAGCTGCACCGGCAGAGCTCCAGAATATGCAACTCGGCCGGCTCACACGCGGACGCGCTTACAAGTGCGAGGGCCCGCCCAACGCTGCTTGCAGCTTTAATATTCCTTTTGCCCTTTCTGCGAAGTGTGCAACTGTAAGTATTTCTGATTCTGATGCTGCAGCGCCTCGTGAGGTCACCACGTCATGAACGCTGGACTCCAGAGGAACACAATGCTGCCACGAGTCAAACACAAGCCAGAGATGCATGGAATGTCTTTATTGTTCAGTTATAAACCGTTTTCAAGTAAAATCAGTCTCAGTGGGTACAAAAATGTCAGTTCAATGAATAAATAAATAAATAGAAGACATTAAAATAAATAGATAGAAGACATTAAAATAAATAAATAGAGGACGTGACCTTGTTCATAAATAGAAACATGATAAATAAATAGACAACAGAAACATGGTGGAGGCTGTGAGACGTGTCAGTGTCGGCGGGAAGTTGAAGCTACGATGGCGTTCACCAGCAGTTCCAGCTGTTGCAGGTGGTTTATAGTTTCCTTCCTGATCAGCTCCCAGGACTCAGCACTACCACCCTGTAACCACAGAACCACAGTCAGGATTAGTACTTTTACCCAGTAGGACTAGAACTTTTACCCAGTACATACCGTGCTACAGTCAGGACTAGTACTTTTACCCGGTACATACCGTGCTACGGTCAGGACTAGTACTTTTACCCGGTACATACCGTGCTACGGTCAGGACTAGTACTCATACCCAGTAGGTCTAGTACTTTTACCCAGTACATACCGTGCTACGGTCAGGACTAGTACTCATACCCAGTAGGACTAGTACTTTTACCCAGTACATACCGTGCTACAGTCAGGACTAGTACTCATACCCAGTAGGACTAGTACTTTTACCCAGTACATACCGTGCTACAGTCAGGACTAGTATTTTTACCCAGTACATTCCGTGCTACAGTCAGGACTAGTATTTTTACCCAGTACATACCGTGCTACGGTCAGGACTAGTACTTTTACCCAGTAGGACTAGTACTTTTACCCAGTACATACCGTGCTACAGTCAGGACCAGTACTTTTACCCGGTACATACCGTGCTACAGTCAGGACTAGTATTTTTACCCAGTACATTCCGTGCTACAGTCAGGACTAGTATTTTTACCCAGTACATACCGTGCTACGGTCAGGACTAGTACTTTTACCCAGTAGGACTAGTACTTTTACCCAGTACATACCGTGCTACAGTCAGGACTAGAACTTTTACCCAGTACATAACATGCTGCAGTCAGTACTACAGCAGGACGTGTACTCACAGTGCAGTGCAGAGTGCGTCTCGCGAGTCTCCTGTAGTATCTTCTCAGTTTGACGTCGCCTGGCATCGTGGTCGACACCTGAAGATAAAAGCACAGGTCAGACACTGTGGTTTTCGTATCATCGTGTGAGTTCAGTTACAGTGAAACTGCTGGAAGGAGCTGAAGTTCAGCTGAAGAAGAAGTCGTCAGCTGACAAATATGAAGTGGTTACATGTCAGTAGAAAGTGTAAGCACTGGAGTATCAGCTGAAACTGGTCAGAAGAGCGGGATGTGTCCTTAAAGCAGATGGTGTCAGTTCAAGTGCTGAAGGAAGTATGAAGGCTGAAGGCTCACATGAGGACAGGAAGTGCTGAGCTGAATGAGCTGTATCTATGATAACAGCAGTCAGCAAAGATTTGTCTTGAGAGAACCGAGAGAGCCAGGGGAGCCGGGAGGGTCCATGTGTGAAAAAAAAGACAGCAGCAGAAGTGTGAAAGTTAAAGAGTAGTAAATTTAAGGAATCGAAACATTCGTCTACTCACACAGCGGTCGAGTTCCTCGATCTGTCTGTAGACGCACACCAGGAAGTGTTCCATCTCTTTGGTGTCCCAGGTAACAGAGGAGATGTTGTTGTGCCGATAGAGACCGAAAATTAGCTTCAGACTGTCTCTGATGAAAACCAGCTGGGACTCCACCTGGAGAGAGCGACAGGTGTGAATTCTAGCTTTGTGATTGGCTGACAGAGACAGGCATAGGTGTGTGGAAGTGTGTGAGAGAGCAGACAGATTACCTTTGTCGTCCTTATTTGTTCGTAGAGTTTGTATGGGAAGGAAACAGGACACTCCTCTTTGGTCAGCTGACCGCCCTGAAACATGAAGACACAGAGACTTCCTGTCACGAAACGTTTCCTTCACTTTCTCTCTGCGTTTGTTTGTAATCGTCTTCTGTACCGACCTCACTGACATGTACGCCAATATAGCGTATGTAAAGATATATTAAATAGTTTTATTATACATCAGTTTATGATTTATCTCTTGGTAAAAAATATCCATACATGTTTGCTGCTGCAGTTCCTTACTGCTCCACAGGATGTCACTAACGAGTCAGCAGAACCTTACAAGTCCATAGTTCTCTGCATTTAACCCATCCTTGTTAGGAGCAGTGAGCAGCCACTGTGCTACTCCTAAAACACCCTCAAAGACTCCCGGAACCATCTCAACGACCCCTAAAACATCCCTCCATGAGACCCCTGAAAACGCCTCTAAGAACCCTGAAACACCTTACGGAGACCCCTGAAACAGCCTCTAAGAACCCTAAAACACCTTCAAAGACTCCTAAAACATCCCTCCAGGAGACCCCTGAAACACCCTTCAGGACTTCCGGAACCATCTCAACGACCTTTAAAACACCCTTCAGGAGACCCCTGAAACAGCCTCTAAGAGCTCTACAACACCCTCAAAGACTCCCTGAACCATCTCAAAGACTCCTAAAACACCCTTCAGGAGACCTTCAAAGACTGCTAAAACACCTTCAGGAGACCCCTGAAATAGCCTCTAAGAACCCTTAAACACCTTCAAAGACTCCCGGAACCATCTCAACGACCCCTAAAACATCCCTCCAGGAGACCCCTGAAATAGCCTCTAAGAACCCTAAAACACCTTCAAAGACTCCCAAAACACCCTTCAGGAGACCCCTGAAACAGCCTCTAAGAACCCTAAAACACCTTCAAAGACTCCCGGAACCATCTCAAAGACTCCAAAACATCCTTCAAGACCCCTGAAACAGCCTCTAAGACCCCTAAAATACCCTTCAAGACTCCCGCAACCTTCTCAATGACACTTAAAACACCCTTCAGGAGACCCCTGAAACAGCCTCTAAGAGCTCTACAACACCCTCAAAGACTCCCTGAACCATCTCAAAGACTCCTAAAACACCCTTCAGGAGACCTTCAAAGACTGCTAAAACACCTTCAGGAGACCCCTGAAATAGCCTCTAAGAACCCTTAAACACCTTCAAAGACTCCCGGAACCATCTCAACGACCCCTAAAACATCCCTCCAGGAGACCCCTGAAATAGCCTCTAAGAACCCTAAAACACCTTCAAAGACTCCCAAAACACCCTTCAGGAGACCCCTGAAACAGCCTCTAAGAACCCTAAAACACCTTCAAAGACTCCCGGAACCATCTCAAAGACTCCAAAACATCCTTCAAGACCCCTGAAACAGCCTCTAAGACCCCTAAAATACCCTTCAAGACTCCCGCAACCTTCTCAATGACACTTAAAACACCCTTCAGGAGACCCCTGAAACAGCCTCTAAGAGCTCTACAACACCCTCAAAGACTCCCTGAACCATCTCAAAGACTCCTAAAACACCCTTCAGGAGACCTTCAAAGACTGCTAAAACACCTTCAGGAGACCCCTGAAATAGCCTCTAAGAACCCTTAAACACCTTCAAAGACTCCCGGAACCATCTCAACGACCCCTAAAACATCCCTCCAGGAGACCCCTGAAATAGCCTCTAAGAACCCTAAAACACCTTCAAAGACTCCCGGAACCATCTCAAAGACTCCAAAACATCCTTCAAGACCCCTGAAACAGCCTCTAAGACCCCTAAAATACCCTTCAAGACTCCCGCAACCTTCTCAATGACACTTAAAACACCCTTCAGGAGACCTTCAAAGACTTCTAAAACACCCTCTAAGACCTCTGAAACAGCCTCTGAGAACCGTAAAACACCCTCTAAGACCCCTAAAACAGCCTCTAAGAACCCTAAAACACCTTCAAAGACTCCCGGAACCATCTCAAAGACTCCAAAACATCCTTCAAGACCCCTGAAACAGCCTCTAAGACCCCTAAAATACCCTTCAAGACTCCCGCAACCTTCTCAATGACACTTAAAACACCCTTCAGGAGACCTTCAAAGACTTCTAAAACACCCTCTAAGACCTCTGAAACAGCCTCTGAGAACCGTAAAACACCCTCTAAGACCCCTAAAACAGCCTCTAAGAACCCTAAAACACCTTCAAAGACTCCCAAAACACCCTCTAAGACCTCTGAAACAGCCTCTGAGAACCGTAAAACACCCTCTAAGACCCCTGAAACAGCCTCTAAGAACCCTAAAACACCTTCAAAGACTCCCAAAACACCCTCTAAGACCTCTGAAACAGCCTCTGAGAACCGTAAAACACCCTCTAAGACCCCTGAAACAGCCTCTAAGAACCCTAAAACACCTTCAAAGACTCCCAAAACACCCTCTAAGACCTCTGAAACAGCCTCTGAGAACCGTAAAACACCCTCTAAGACCCCTAAAACAGCCTCTAAGAACCCTACAACACCCTCGAAGACTCCCAGAACCATCACAAAGACCCCTAAAACAACCCAAAGAAGTGTCTCAAGGCCCCCTGGAAGCTCCAGGAACTTGTGCCATTGTTGTTGGACTCACCATGTGCTCGGCGTGAGTCCGAGATATGTTGCTTGCATGACCATAGTGTGTGAGCCAATCACAGCCGAGGGCTGAGGTCAGCAGGCAGAGGAGGAAGAGCAGGCTGGTCCAGCTGGGCATGATGAAGACGAGGACGGTGAAGGAGACTGTGCCGGTGCTGCAGAGGACTGCTGTGTGTCCTGGTCTCCAACATGCTGCTGAACTTGTATCCCAGACAGGAAAGAGAAAACAGCAGAGTGAAAGGCAGAAAACCCCGCAGTGTTTTCTACTCTCACTTTCCACACACACACACACACCAACACACGTATAACAACAATAATAATAATGACTAATATTTACATATTGATCCTTTGTTTGTAACATTTTATTTTGAAATGTAAGTACACGCAGTGCAGTAAGATTAAAAAGTACATAGTGCTGTGGAGTGCAAGTGTAAAGTGGAAGTAAAGTACTTCAGAAGTGTACTGAAGTAAAAGTAAATAAATGTAAAAGTAGTTTCAGCTGCAGAGATATTACATCTGTAGAGATGTTTAATGTGAAACAGCAGAAGCTCCCTCTTTAAATCTGACCTCAGAAGTTTAAGTTATATATCTGAATAAATAATAATAATTATATAAATGACTGACGTCATGCTCTGAATAAATTCATATTTAAATGATTAACTGAAATAATAAAAATAATAGAAGTGAGTGACGTCACGCTCTTTTTTATGAATGGAGCGTGTTTTCTGTGTTTGGGAAGTTTTAGTGCTGTGCAGTCCCTCCATTTTCACTTTCATTACCAAACCAGATCACATGAAGTCTCTGCACAGCTCTACAAAATAAAACCAGAGCCTTTCTCTCTTTATGAAGTTAACAGCAGAGACCCAGGGTTTTTCACTGACCACACGTTAAACAGAGTGTGACTTAAATCAACAGGAAGCCAGATCTCAGGTCAGATTGTCTGTCAACCATCCAGCCGTGTGTTAATAATACTGTGCTTTTATTTTGAAAGCAGCGTCTCAGCTGTTTGACTGACAGCTGACGTCAGCCTCGTTTTCACTTTCTGGTCTTTCTGGAAACCTTCACTGATGATGTAACCACTAACACACGAATAACTACGTAGTACTGTAGTAATGGTACTGTAAATGTACACCGAGGAGATATCATAAATACATTCAACACTGTGAAAATAAAACACACATGATGTGTTTATAAAGATAAATTATAAACACACACATTAATGTATAAAGATGCTGCAGTATATTCTATATGAATGAACCTTTTCTATGTTAAATGATTGATAAACAAAATCCTTTATGTTGAAATTCTAATTTGTATTTCAGCTAACATGAAGAATTAATTAATATAAAAACAAGCAGATCAGAGCTTTGATGAATGAACTCACAGGAAATATATTACACAGATAATATTTTATATGAAGCAAAGAAACTTCAGTGTTCTCTCAGTAGATTACTACTAATAATACTACTAATAATACTACTAATACTACTGCTCATACTACTGTCTGACTTTCCCGTTAGTTTGATACTAACAGCTGCTTATTTACACTTTATAACAGATCATGTGATGAATTTATAAAAATCTCATCATGTATAAAATGCACACCAATCAAAGAAAAACAAACAAAACACGGTTAACAAGTATTAAAACTGTATTAATTACTTAAATAAATATATATACTGACAGAGTGAATGAGTTTCTGTGAGGACACCGTGATTGGCCTGACGGACATGTCGTCACTCCCATCTGCGCCCCTACTGGTTACTGTAGCAGCAGATCCCGCCTCTAAGCGGAAGCGCGGTAAACCCACAGACTGTTCAAAACAAACCGCGGTGGAGACAAAGAGAGTGACGGTGAGTAAAACAAACGTTACCGAGCTTTTTAACAACCGGAGGCTCGAACAGCCGGGCGGTTAACGGACAGCAGGACGGTTAACGGCCGTTAACGGACACGGCAGGTGGTTAATCTGTAGCTTTAACACACTTAACGTTACGTGAGAACGCCCCGCCAAACTCCATTAAAAAATCTGCCATTTTAACGCTGCTCCGCCGACACATTCTTTACTTGGTAACATCAGTTGTTTATTAATGTCTGTCGTTTCTTTACAAAGCACAGAACCAAACTTAATGTGATTAAATACGAGTTTTCGTTGGCTTGTTCGCTTCCAGCTGTACTGTGGGAACTGTAAGCCAACATGTTTAATAATGACCTTTGACAGGTTACTCTTAGGCCGAAACATTTAGTGGCTCCTCTTGAATAGCAAACTTTTTACACTTATATTATGGAATGAGTGTTTCCCAGCTGAGGGTGATTATTAAATTAAATTAGAGTTGTTTTAATGGAGGTTTTGGTGCAGGTGGCTCACCAGTAAAGACCAGGGGACATTTCCTGTTCTTGGCTGTCCTGCAGGTGTGATGGAGGTGGACATCCTGGAGTTCCACGTTCCTGTGGAGAACAACAAGACTCTGTTTGTGTGGGACATCCAGCCGTCCAACACCGAAGCTCAGATCTACGTGAGCGAGAACGTGCTGCCAGACTCCATTCAGAAATCACTGTTTTTAAGAGGCTGTCCCCCTCAGACTGTAACAGGTGTGTGTGTGTGTTCCTCCTCAGGACGGCTTGGACCGCGTGTTCTCGTCCTTCGGTCCTCTCTACCTGCTGAAGGTGTGTCCCAACGCGCCGCTCAACCCGCCCGGGTTCTACGCCCTCATCAAGTTCTACTCTGCTGCTCAGGCCTCAAAGGCTCAGCGGCGGACTGATGGACGCTCGCTGTTCCAGAGCTCTCCACTCAAGGTCACCACCTCTCACGCACACGGGCTTCTTCTGTTACTGACACTGTGATATGACCCACCTGAACAGGTGAACAGGAGATAAACAAGTCATTTCACACAACAAGGGTCAGTGTAGTGTTTAAAATGAAACTTTAAACTGAAGGTAACCGGAGATTATTATGTTAGCTGGAGTCATGTTTCCTGCTAAACTCGCTTTATTGTGAAGGTGAGAACAAACAGGAAGTGAAAACATGCTGCTTAATATTGACCACGCAGCTGCAGTCACAGTATTAACGAACACACAGGATTTATATTTAAATGTACAATAAATAAACACGTCTCATTAATAATTCAGTAGTTAACTTAGTCATGTTGAAAAAGAGAATAGAGCTCATTAGAATATTGATCATAGTTTAGGCACACAGAGACACACAGAGACACACAGGTGATCAGAGACACTCAGGTGATCAGAGACACTCAGGTGATCAGAGACACTCAGGTGATCAGAGACACACAGAGACACACAGGTGATCAGAGACACACAGAGACACTCAGGTGATCAGAGACACACAGAGACACACAGGTGATCAGAGACACACAGAGACACTCAGGTGATCAGAGACACTCAGGTGATCAGAGACACACAGAGACACACAGGTGATCAGAGACACTCAGGTGATCAGAGACACACAGAGACACTCAGGTGATCAGAGACACACAGAGACACACAGGTGATCAGAGACACTCAGGTGATCAGAGACACTCAGGTGATCAGAGACACACAGAGACACTCAGGTGATCAGAGACACTCAGGTGATCAGAGACACACAGAGACACTCAGGTGATCAGAGACACTCAGGTGATCAGAGACACTCAGGTGATCAGAGACACACAGAGACACTCAGGTGATCAGAGACACACAGAGACACTCAGGTGATCAGAGACACTCAGGTGATCAGAGACACACAGAGACACACAGGTGATCAGAGACACTCAGGTGAACAGAGACACTCAGGTGATCAGAGACACACAGAGACACTCAGGTGATCAGAGACACTCAGGTGATCAGAGACACACAGAGACACACAGGTGATCAGAGACACTCAGGTGATCAGAGACACTCAGCTGATCAGAGACACACAGGTGATCAGAGACACACAGGTGATCAGAGACACTCAGGTGATCAGAGACACACAGGTGATCAGAGACACACAGGTGATCAGAGACACTCAGCTGATCAGAGACACACAGGGACACACAGGTGATCAGAGACACACAGGTGATCAGAGACACTCAGCTGATCAGAGACACTCAGGTGATCAGAGACACACAGGTGATCAGAGACGCTCAGCTGATCAGAGACACACAGGGACACAAAGACACACTCAGGTGACCAGAGACACACAGAGACACTCTGGTCACATGAGACCCAAGAGGACAGCAGGCCACAGTCGATGCTTCGTCTGCACGTTACGCTGCACCTTGACTTGTTTTTGCACAGCGGCCTTACGCTTGACAGAAGCTGAAACGACAGAAACTTATTGTCACACAGGGAATGCACGCTGCTCACCAGCATCGCACGCTGCTCACCAGCATCGCACGCTGCTCACCAGCACGAGAGGCGTCAGTTGGAGATTAGAAGCAGATTGTGGTCTGAGACTCGTCCTCCAGCGCTCCACCTGCATCACCAGGCCGCCGCTCTCAGAGAACAGGCTGCAGCTCAAAGCCTGTGACCACATGTAGGTCAGACTGAGACAGGTGGTTCGATTCCCGCCTCCCCCTGTGTCCTTGTGTGAATGTGTGTTTGTGATCACACCAGGTTTCCTCTAACGTACTTCCTGTTTAATGTAACGCCACATGTGAGGCAGGAAACGGTACAAGCTGTAAACGGTGTGTTTGTGTGTTCAGGTGAGGCTGAGCTCCAAACACACTCCTCACTTCCTGTCTGACCGCAGCAGACCGCTGAGCCACGCCCGCTGCCTGGAGCTGGCCAATCACTACCTGGGATTCAACGGCTGGACCTCTGACATCATCACAGTGAGAAACACTTTGGATCAAATGAATGTAATGAAATGTAAAAATCCGCCGGCGCTTGTGGAGCTTCTCAACTTTCGTGAAATATAAAAATCTCCACAGCTGATTCAGCCCGGCCAAAAACGCTTTGTTTAAACGGAGACTTCCCTCTGATAGTATATACACGTTGGTGCGTACACGGGCGTACCACCACCCCAGGTGACCTCCTGTCTGTGCTCTTCCTCCTCAGCTAAAGGAGCTCACCAACGAAGAAGAGGAGGAGGAGGGCGGAGGCCGAGTCAGGAGGCTGAGGTTGGGCTGCCTGCTGCAGCTCTCCTTCCCTCACCACGGGCAGACGAGCAGAGCGGCAGCGGTGGTGGAGGACAGCTTCACCTGCACAGGTGAGCAGCAGCAGGTGTAGAAGGACATGAGAGGAGCAAATATCCTGCAGAGCTCAGACCTGTTTCAAGTCACAGCAGGGACCAGGTTCAGGCTCAGAGGCTACATGTGGAAATGTACTTCACATACTGCGTATTACACACCTACGTTACTGCGTATTACACACCTACGTTACTGCGTATTACACACCTACGTTACTGCTTATTACACACCTACGTTACTGCGTATTACACACCTGCGTTACTGCTTATTACACACCTACGTTACTGCGTATTACACACCTACGTTACTGCGTATTACACACCTACGTTACTGCGTATTACACACCTACGTTACTGCGTATTACACACCTACGTTACTGCGTATTACACACCTACGTTACTGCGTATTACACACCTACGTTACTGCGTATTACACACCTACGTTACTGCGTATTACACACACGTTACTGCGTATTACACACACGTTACTGCTTATTACACACCTACGTTACTGCGTTTTACACACCTGCGTATTACACACCTGCGTTACTGCGTATTACACACCTACGTTACTGCGTTTTACACACCTGCGTTACTGCGTTTTACACACCTACGTTACTGCGTTTTACACACCTGAGTATTACACACCTGCGTTACTGAGTATTACACACCTACGTTACTGCGTATTACACACCTGCGTTACTGCGTATTACACACCTACATTACTGCTTATCACACACCTACGTTACTGAGTATTACACACCTACGTTACTGCTTATTACACACCTACGTTACTGCGTTTTACACACCTGAGTATTACACACCTGCGTTACTGAGTATTACACACCTACGTTACTGCGTATTACACACCTACGTTACTGCGTATTACACACCTACGTTACTGCGTATTACACACCTACGTTACTGCTTATTACACACCTACGTTACTGCGTATTACACACCTACGTTACTGCTTATTACACACCTACGTTACTGCTTATTACACACCTGCGTATTACACACACGTTACTGCTTATTACACACCTACGTTACTGCTTATTACACACCTACGTTACTGCGTATTACACACCTACGTTACTGCGTATTACACACCTACGTTACTGCGTATTACACACCTACGTTACTGCTTATTACACACGTTACTGCGTATTACACACCTGCGTTACTGCGTATTACACACCTACGTTACTGCGTATTACACACCTACGTTACTGCGTATTACACACCTACGTTACTGCGTATTACACACCTACGTTACTGCGTATTACACACCTACGTTACTGCGTTTTACACACCTGCGTATTACACACCTGCGTTACTGCGTATTACACACCTACGTTACTGCGTTTTACACACCTGCGTATTACACACCTGCGTTACTGCGTATTACACACCTACGTTACTGCGTTTTACACACCTGCGTATTACACACCTGCGTTACTGCGTATTACACACCTACGTTACTGCGTTTTACACACCTGCGTATTACACACCTACGTTACTGCGTATTACACACCTACGTTACTGCGTATTACACACCTACGTTACTGCTTATTACACACCTACGTTACTGCTTATTACACACCTACGTTACTGCGTATTACACACCTACGTTACTGCGTATTACACACCTACGTTACTGCTTATTACACACCTACGTTACTGCGTATTACACACCTACGTTACTGCGTATTACACACCTGCGTTACTGCTTATTACACACCTACGTTACTGCGTATTACACACCTACGTTACTGCGTATTACACACCTGCGTTACTGCTTATTACACACCTGCGTTACTGCGTATTACACACCTGCGTTACTGCGTATTACACACCTGCGTTACTGCGTATTACACACCTACGTTACTGCGTATTACACACCTACGTTACTGCTTATTACACACCTACGTTACTGCTTATTACACACCTACGTTACTGCGTATTACACACCTACGTTACTGCGTATTACACACCTACGTTACTGCGTATTACACACCTGCGTATTACACACCTGCGTTACTGCTTATTACACACCTACGTTACTGCTTATTACACACCTACGTTACTGCTTATTACACACCTACGTTACTGCGTATTACACACCTACGTTACTGCGTATTACACACCTACGTTACTGCTTATTACACACCTACGTTACTGCGTATTACACACCTACGTTACTGCGTATTACACACCTACGTTACTGCTTATTACACACCTACGTTACTGCGTATTACACACCTACGTTACTGCGTATTACACACCTGCGTTACTGCTTATTACACACCTACGTTACTGCGTATTACACACCTACGTTACTGCGTATTACACACCTGCGTTACTGCTTATTACACACCTGCGTTACTGCGTATTACACACCTGCGTTACTGCGTATTACACACCTACGTTACTGCTTATTACACACCTACGTTACTGCGTATTACACACCTACGTTACTGCGTATTACACACCTACGTTACTGCTTATCACACACACGTTACTGCTTATTACACACGTTACTGCGTATTACACACCTGCGTTACTGCGTATTACACACCTACGTTACTGCGTTTTACACACCTGCGTATTACACACCTACGTTACTGCGTTTTACACACCTGCGTTACAGCTTATTACACACCTACGTTACTGCTTATTACACACCTACGTTACTGCGTTTTACACACCTGCGTTACAGCTTATTACACACCTACGTTACTGCTTATTACACACCTACGTTACTGCGTATTACACACCTGCGTTACTGCTTATTACACACCTACGTTACTGCTTATTACACACCTACGTTACTGCTTATTACACACCTACGTTACTGCTTATTACACACCTACGTTACTGCTTATTACACACCTACGTTACTGCGTATTACACACCTACGTTACTGCGTATTACACACCTACGTTACTGCGTATTACACACCTGCGTTACTGCGTATTACACACCTGCGTTACTGCTTATTACACACCTACGTTACTGCGTATTACACACCTACGTTACTGCGTATTACACACCTGCGTTACTGCGTATTACACACCTACGTTACTGCTTATTACACACCTACGTTACTGCGTATTACACACCTACGTTACTGCTTATTACACACCTACGTTACTGCGTATTACACACCTACGTTACTGCTTATTACACACCTACGTTACTGCGTATTACACACCTGCGTATTACACACCTACGTTACTGCGTATTACACACCTACGTTACTGCGTATTACACACCTACGTTACTGCGTATTACACACCTACGTTACTGCGTATTACACACCTACGTTACTGCTTATTACACACCTACGTTACTGCGTATTACACACCTACGTTACTGCGTATTACACACCTACGTTACTGCGTATTACACACCTACGTTACTGCGTATTACACACCTACGTTACTGCGTATTACACACCTACGTTACTGCGTATTACACACCTACGTTACTGCGTATTACACACCTACGTTACTGCTTATTACACACCTACGTTACTGCTTATTACACACCTACGTTACTGCGTATTACACACCTACGTTACTGCTTATTACACACCTACGTTACTGCGTATTACACACCTGCGTTACTGCTTATTACACACCTACGTTACTGCGTATTACACACCTACGTTACTGCTTATTACACACCTGCGTTACTGCTTATTACACACCTGCGTTACTGCGTATTACAAACCTGCGTTACTGCGTATTACACACCTACGTTACTGCGTATTACACACCTACGTTACTGCGTATTACACACCTACGTTACTGCGTATTACACACCTACGTTACTGCGTATTACACACCTACGTTACTGCGTATTACACACCTACGTTACTGCGTATTACACACCTACGTTACTGCGTATTACACACCTGCGTATTACACACCTACGTTACTGCGTATTACACACCTACGTTACTGCGTATTACACACCTACGTTACTGCGTATTACACACCTACGTTACTGCGTATTACACACCTACGTTACTGCGTATTACACACCTACGTTACTGCGTATTACACACCTACGTTACTGCGTATTACACACCTACGTTACTGCGTATTACACACCTACGTTACTGCGTATTACACACCTACGTTACTGCTTATTACACACGTTACTGCGTATTACACACCTGCGTTACTGCGTATTACACACCTACGTTACTGCGTTTTACACACCTGCGTATTACACACCTACGTTACTGCGTATTACACACCTACGTTACTGCTTATCACACACACGTTACTGCTTATTACACACGTTACTGCGTATTACACACCTGCGTTACTGCGTATTACACACCTACGTTACTGCGTTTTACACACCTGCGTATTACACACCTACGTTACTGCGTATTACACACCTACGTTACTGCTTATCACACACACGTTACTGCTTATTACACACCTGCGTTACTGCGTATTACACACCTACGTTACTGCTTATTACACACCTGCGTTACTGCTTATTACACACGTTACTGCGTATTACACACCTGCGTTACTGCGTATTACACACCTACGTTACTGCGTTTTACACACCTGCGTATTACACACCTACGTTACTGCGTTTTACACACCTGCGTTACAGCTTATTACACACCTACGTTACTGCGTATTACACACCTACGTTACTGCGTATTACACACCTGCGTATTACACACCTACGTTACTGCTTATTACACACCTACGTTACTGCTTATTACACACCTACGTTACTGCTTATTACACACCTACGTTACTGCTTATTACACACCTACGTTACTGCTTATTACACACCTACGTTACTGCGTATTACACACCTACGTTACTGCGTATTACACACCTACGTTACTGCGTATTACACACCTACGTTACTGCGTATTACACACCTACGTTACTGCTTATTACACACCTACGTTACTGCTTATTACACACGTTACTGCGTATTACACACCTGCGTTACTGCGTATTACACACCTACGTTACTGCGTTTTACACACCTGCGT